AGAATCATATAGGTTTTGTGTCAACATGGAGACCACCAGGCTCACCCTCTGAGACTCCACGTTTAAAGGTGGGGTCCGTGGATCTGCAGGATGAGCCGACACCCAGATGACTCTGCTAGAAGGAAATCTCTGTGACCTCGGGTTAGATGTCTACATACTACACCAAAACACCACGCATCAAAGAGAAGTCACATACTCTCATGCTACAAAACAAAAACACTTAGAAACAGGAGAGAAAAAAACGTTTCATGCTTTTAGCTTCTCTATCTGTAAAATGGGGGTGTTATTAACTGAGCCACAGGGTTGTTGTGAAGACTGAGTGAGTCCAAACTGATAAAGTTCCTCCAATGATCTGGGGAAATTCATACCAAAAGCATACAGAGGAGAGAGAGAGAGAGAGAGAGAGAGAGAGAGAGAGAGAGAGAAAATATGGGAGAGCAACATACCAAGAGCTAATGGCTCAGAATTTTCTAGAAATAAACACAGACATGAATCCTCAGAGTCAGAAAGTACAAAAGATTATAACTTATTTTTAATTTATTGATATTAGAGATAGAGGAAGGGATTGATTTGTTGTTCCACTTATTTATGCATTCATTGGTTGCTTCCTGTATGTACTCTGGGGGGGATCACCCCCCACCCCTGCAACCTTGGTGTACTGAGACAACACAACACGCTAACCAACTGAGCTACCCGGCCAGGGCCTGCAAAAGACTGTAGAAAAGCTGGACTGACCTATCAAACATCTGAGCTCATCACAACACCTGACACGCAGCAGGCCCCAGAGAAGTGCTGGCTCCTTTCCTCCCAGCCCACAGCGGTCCTTCCTTCCTCCCATCTCTGCAGCTGCCTCTATCCCAACCAGCTGTGCCCGCCCTGCCTGCACTCTCCCAGGCTTTTCCAAATCGCGCTCTGCAGTAATGATCATTTTTTTTTATTGATTTCAGAGAGGAAGGAAGAGGTAGAGAGAGATAGAAACATCAATGATGAGAGAGAATCATTGATCGGCTGCCTCCTGCACACCCCTCACTGGGGATGAAGCCTGCAACCCAGGCATGTGCCCTTGACCAGAATCGAACCTGGGACCCTTCAGTCCGCAGGCTGACGCTCTATCCACTGAGCCAAACTGGCTAGGGAAGTAATGATCATTTTTCAAGTCATCCCCAAAGCACACAGCAGACCTGGCAGCCTCTCCCCTGGACATGAGTCAGGTGCAGAGCGGCCTGGCCTGCCAGTCCACTGGCCAGGGAGGGAAGAGTAAGGTCAGTCAGACCCCTCGGGGGTACGAGGACTCAGGGAAGCCCAGACAGGCATGAGACCTTTACAAAGAGAAAGGTATCTCTAATTCTGGGAGACAGGGGGTGGACAGAGAGGAGGGCCAGGCTCAGGGAAGGTGCCGAGTCCCCAGCATGAGGCGTGGAGAAGAGGGGAGGGGCTGGACGAAAGCAGCTCAATTCGAGCTGAGGGGCAGACCAGGGGCCAGGTGGAAAGAAGCCCACTTCTCGGGGGATCAAGAGGCCTGAAGCAGCGACAAGGGCTGGGATCCAAAGCTCAGGTTACGGGAGGAGCAGGCCCGGCTGGGAAGGCACACCCACTGGCGCTGCGAACCATGGTGAGTAAGGTGAGAGCGGCCTGTAACCGAGCTCTTCCCAGCCCAGCCTCCACAATGAGACACCTGTGGCTGCTCCCTCCCACCAGGCCTGGCAGGGAGGGGAGCCCATTCCACCCCTGGGCCAGGGGCTTAGAGAAGGTGCTAGTCCTGTCACTCCTCTGCTAGGAAGTGTTTTACTTCCTTCCACATTCTGTAGCGGCAGGTAGTCCTTTCCTTAAAACTTATTCTCTACTTATAAGGGTAATATGCTCATCACAGAACAGTCACGAAATGCAGAGCTTTGTCTTACATACATGTGCAGCTTGTTTTATACCCTTCCGCTTTTTTTCTATGTACATATACACATTTAACACCGTTGGCATCTTACTATGTAGAGTTTGAGATCCTTGTTTTTTTCTTCTTTTTCCTTTTCCAATTCACGTTATCCGTGGGAATTTGCCAGTCTTCATTCAAGCATACGACGAAATGTTATGCACCACGGTTAATGGCAACATAAATGGCATTGTACAGCTGTAACTAAATTTATTTAAGCAACGTTGTGGTGCTGGTTGTTTAGGCTGTTTCAGACTGTTTACTATTTTACATGAGAACGATATCCTGCACGACTTCAACACCCAGCATCTCCCACCCTGAATTAGGACCACCTGTGGTCTGTCCGACATAGCTAGGCATGAAGCCATGTGTCACTTGCTGCTCTCTGACTGTCACCGAGGCAGTCTCGTCTCAGGCCCAGGACTCTATTGCAAATATACCTGCACGGCCCCCAGCACCCTGCACCCAGCAAGTACTCAGTAGGTGCTGACTATGTAAGCCCCAGAGTCCTCAGACTGTATGGCCTGATGAGTTTCATTTGCCAAGGGTCAGGACTGCAGGTGCCCACGTGGCCTCGTCTGATATTTTGCTTCTTCTCTTGGCACTGAAGAGGTAAAAAGGCCCCTATCATCCAGCCCTAACTTTAAAGACCCCATCACCTCCACCACACATGAAAGTCTCGAGCTCTGGCCACAACCTCCAGCCAACCGCAATGACTTAGGGTTTAATCCCTTCCCCAAGTTGCCTATAGCTTCACTGTGCTCATGACCCTGGTAATCCCCAACCATCTGCTCCAACCGCAGAACAGCATGGTGGGGACAGGGCGCTGGCTCTGGTGCCAGACAGGCAGGGTTCCGATCCCAGGCAGTGGTCTGGCAGGGGCCTCACTTGGGATCCTCAGTGGGCATGGCCCTGGGCAGTGCAGAAGAGCTGGTCACAGCCCTCCCTACCCTGGTCACCCTGCACACTTCACCCAAGGCAGATGCCCAACCTTCAGTTCACAGAATTCCCCACCTGGCCTGCAGAGGCACCTGAGTTTGCAATCTCTGGCCCAGAGACACTGAAATCTAGACTCAACAGGGCCTTCGAGGCTCTCCACCTGCGGGGTGCCATCCCTCATGCCACAGAGACAGCTCCGCAGTGGCCTCTCCCAGCTATGGTGCAGCCCTGCCTCTGCCTAGGGCACCTGCCTCCTCACTGCTGCCTAAGGGAATCCTCTCTCAAACAGCACCTCCCCAGGAGGTCAGAATTCCGCTCTCCCCCCTTTACTACCCCTCCACCTTGCCCCCTTCACACATCTGGATGAGACTGAGCTGCAGGTGTGTCCCTCCCCCTCATGATACTTTAAAATAGGGGTAGGTCATTCACTGCAGAGATTTGTCGATTTGCACTGAGCTCCCCATTCAGAGGCAATGGGGGGTTACTTAGGCCTCTATTTCCAGCCCTTGGGGATGAAAAATAATAGTTGCCATTTATGGAGCTACCTACATGCCAAGCACCTTACAGACATTACAATTACTCCTAATCACCTTGATGAGGAAGACACAATTATACCCCCATTTTACAGATGAAGACACCAAGGTGCAGAGAGGGTAAGTAACTGCTAAGGTAGCAAGCTGGCAGATGGCAGAGTATGGATTCGAATCCAGGCCTGAGTGACCCAGAGCCTGGCTCTCAACCACCACATTCGTGATGAAGAGCCTTGAGCACTGGGGTGAGTACAACCATATTAGTGACTAGCACCGGGTTCCAGAATTCCTTACTCGCCAGCTGAAGGCTCCAACCCCACCCCCCCAAATCAGAGACAGTCTTCAAGTTTGTTTGCTGTTAGAGGGGATGCTCTTCTTACCTTAGTTCAATTCAGCAAACACCTCCACGTGCTCACAAAGTGCCTGACACTGTGTTGGCTCTTGGGAGGGGGGGGTGAGGGGGGGGAGACCACAGGATCACTACCCGCTAGGGACACTGAATGGGTGTTACAGAGGAGGAGGGAGCAAGGGGTGGACAGGGTAGGAGTGAGGGATTCCTGGAAGAGGTGGTAACCAACCTCATCTTGAAGGCTGAGTATCCCTCCACTTCCTGGGCCACCACGCCTGCCCCAGAAGCTACATTCCACACACACTCTGACCAATAGCTGCTTGAATAAACGCTCTACCTTTCCAGCCTTTGGTTCTTTGCTCAGGCTGTAGCCTCCATGGAAATGCTCCTTCGGGAGACAGGCACACACATACACAGACACACACCCCCACCTGCCTGTGAAAGTCCTCTCTGTGCCAAAGACCCAACTTAAATCCCAACCTGTCCACCTGCATGGCCACCCACAAGGCAGGACGGTGCTCCTGTCCTCTGGGTTCCCACAGCACACCCATGGCTCTAAGGTGCCACTTACATTCTAGTGAATGAGACACACACACACACACACACACACACTTGTACTATATCTATCTCCCCTGCCGATCCTTGCACATGGCAAGACAGTCAATTCAGCGGATATTTATTTATGCTGTGACCAGTTCAAAGCAAGAAATATATGACACAATTCAAGTAAAGCAGTGGAGTGAACGGGGGACCTCCCGGCTGGGTGAACTAAGAAAGCCCCCTCTGCCTTTGACTCTCCGTCTCCTCACCCGTCTCCTCCTCTCCCGGAGACCACAGCTAGTCATGCCTGGCCGGGATCACCCGTCACAGGGAGGCTGTGAAAATTCAGTCAGGCAACACTCATGCCCCAGCACGGGCCTGCGACATGGGGCGACTCGGCAGTGCCAGCTATGGTCACCTGGTCCCAGGGCACACACACTCAGTCCAAGAGCAGGCAGACAGGCTCCTGGCGGGTGAGCCCCTCACTCGGTGTTTTTCAAATCTCTCTGACGCTGACCCATAGCAAGTCGTACGCGGGGACCCCGTATACGCACAAACTAAACACAACTGCTGTTAACGTTCCAAGAAACTGCTCCTCGTGACGAGGGGCACACACTGATATTGCCTCTTTCCTCTTCTCTTTCTACTTCATTTCCAAACTCATTTCACAAACCACTTGCAGGGCGCCCTGCGGTTGGAACGCCATGCCCTCACTCACCCAGGGTGTCAGAGTCACTCTCCACCGTCTCGTTGACCTTCCTCGCAACTCTGGCCACCGCCTCACCCATCTTCCTCAGCATGCAGACTCGGGTGTCCTGCTGCCAGCCACCAGGCCGGTCTGCTGCTCACAGGGGGGCCTGCACCTGGGGAAGACACAGGGGCATGAGTCCCCTGCCCGCTGGCCAGGGACCTGGGCTGCTGGAAGACTGCAGGGAGAGCTCCAGGCCGCTCGCCTCCTCCTGAGGGGCCCAGAGCCCAGGCCACATCCAGCTTGGCCTTTAAAGCAGCTGATCTGCCCATCAGAGGGTGGGGGCAGCCTGGTCCTACCAGTTTCCTGGGAGGATCGACACGTGTGACCACACCGGACACAGGGCCAGAGCCTGAACCGGTGGCCAGGCGGGAGTGAGGACTCAGGTGTGCGCTGGCCTGTGACTCACTTTAACAGGCGGGGCCTTGAGGAGGAGGCGGGGCACAGCCAACTGCAAGGAAGAGACACTTGTCCCTCCACCTCACGGCCTGTGAGCTGGTGCCCTGTCCAAGACCCTCCAGAGCAACTCCTCCAGCTCCGTTTGCCCCACCCACCTGTGCCAGACTCCTCCTGTATGCTGGGGCGTGGGGACAAGAAGGCAAATAAAACACAGCCCGGCTTAGTCAGAACTCAGAGTCTGCAGGTGGGTGGGTCTCTAAGAATTCCCTCTCCAAGTACCAGCATGGAGTACCCATGTGGCCTGCAGACCTGGTTATCAGCCTGATGTTGAATTTATCTGCAAGACCCCAAGGGAAAAGGGGGGTGGGGTAGGGAAACGAGAGAAAGGAAATTCGATCACTAGAGAGAAGAGGCTTAAAGAAGGGTGAAGATGAAAATTAAAATAAAAATGACAAGGTGTTAAAGACATAAGGAACACTAGAAACGTTGCTAACTCCCTGTCAATTACAGAGAAGGAAACAGAGGCATAAAGAGGGACTAAATGACCTGGCCAAGGCCGAAGTGACTAAGTGGCAATAATCAGCTCAGCCCGGCTCCACATTCAGTGCTCACTGCTTTACAAGTCACCCACGTCACCAGCGGCAGCACCCCACCTAGAATGAACCTGAGGCCAAGGGCAATGCCCTCCTGTGTCCCCAGAGCCCAAGCTCAGCTTTGCCCATAGCTCAAGGAGCTCTAACATACTCAATCTGAGGGTCAAAGGCAGAAGAATGGAAAGGGGAGAGAAAAGCGGGGCGGGGGAAGAGCTCAGACCTCCTAACAAACCAATAAAAAGTCCCTATGCGCTCAGCTGGACAGGCAGGGCAGCCAGGGCCTACTGGGGGTTGGCCAAGCCCACCCATGTGCTTAGGGGAGAGTTAGTGGTGAGTTCAGTACGTACACGCATCTCACCAAGGAGGCCGACACTGAAGGGATGAAACACATGGTGCAGTGGGAAAAGGCTTTTTGAAGACAGCCCTAATGCCTAACTGTTATTTATTAGTTGAGAAGTCTTGGGGAAGTGTCTTAAACTACTCTGAGCTGTTTCTTCATCTGAAGAAATCTAGTAATAACCTCACTGGGTTAATACAAAGATTGAACAACAACAACTACATGTATATATACACACACACACACACACACACACACACACTAGTGGCCCAGTGCACGAAATTCATGCGGGGGGGGGGGGTGTCCCTCAGCCCAGTCTGTACCCTCTCCAATCTGTGACCCCTGTGGGATTGGGCCTAAACAGGCAGTCGGACATCCCTCTCACAATCCGGGACCACTGGCTCCTTAACCACTCACCTGCCTGCCAGCCTGATCACCCCCTAACTGCTCCCCTGATGGCCTGATTGCCCCCAACTGCCCCCAAGGCTTTTATTAGAGTGTGTGTGTGTGTGTGTATCTTTCTAGCCCAGAGCCCAGGACACATAGTTACCCAATAAATGCTAATTGAGAGGATAAGACATGCAGACATGATGTGAGCATCTAATCCCAGTTGCATACCCATGTGACTTTGAACAAACAACTCAGTGGAACTCATCTTTAAGGAATGAGTAGAATTTTCATCTCTCCACCTCCAGGAAGTGTTCCCTGATTGCCCCAGCCCTCAGTGTTCTCTCCTTCTGAATTTCAGAAGCACTTGCCCTAGCACAAGCCAGTTGGGTTGTTTATCAGGCAGCTTAGGGCAAGAAGCAAATCTATACTGTGCTTCTGCCTGCACTTTACACCACATACTAAAAACAGATGGCCATCTAGTATCCCCCAATGGTGATGATGATGATCAACAGCTATCATTTGAATTTAAATACAACTGACTCTTATAATAAATCTAAGACACCGTCTAATTGAGAAGGGTCATACATTCAAATGCCTAACAGTGCCAGATGGGTACCTTGCACCAGGTGAGCCTGGTAGGACAGTAGGGAACAGTGATGTCTATTGCAAACTAGACCCGACACCTTCGCCAGGCTACCTTTAAGGCCATCCCCCTAACCCTGAGTCACACTGGAGGACCCAAAAAGGTTGGTGAATCAGATAGGTCAGTGGTCGGCAAACTGCGGCTCGCAAGCCACATGCGGCTCTTTGGCCCCTTGAGTGTGGCTCTTCCACAAAAATACCGGACTTTTGCGCATGGGCCACGAAGTTTCAATCGCACTGTACGTGCTCGCCCCGCAAGTGGTATTTTGTGGAAGAGCCACACCCAAGGGGGCCAAAGAGCTGCATGTGGCTTGTGAGCCGTAGTTTCCCGCAATTGGTTAAAAAAAAATCCTGGGGCTTTTAACTCCTTGATCCAAGTTCTTCTTCCAATGCCATGCTCCCTACCTCCCCCATCTCTAATATTTATCATCAATAATCACAAACATGTGCGGAAGCACGTACTTAGGTATTGGGATGTAAAATGAAGAGGGAAATGCAGGAAATAGCTCTGAAATTGTGATTCTGAGGAGGAAGAGCTTTCTAAGAAACATCAGAGGCAATCCTGGCTTCTCAGCAGAGGGGAAAGAGAAGGAAATCTCCAATCTGCCCAGGGTCTGTGCTAACCTTACTGGGATCCTCTAGGCCAGCGTTCGCCAACCTTTCAGACCTCATGGACCACTGGTTGGTGCCGGCTGCTCTAGGCTGATTACTTTGACAATATGCCTGCAATTCTTATAGCTGCGACCAGGTAGGAGAGGGCGGTGGTACCTTAGGCCATAGAATAATCCCTTGATGAAAACCAGTCAGATTAAAAACCTCACCCCTGCTGGCAGGCTCAGACATACTGAAAACAGATGTCTCAGATCCTTTAGTATGGGTCAGAGAATGGACCTCGAAGCAGGAACAGGAGCAACCTGTAAGTCAGTGAGTCAGAGCAAGTCATAGGAGGAGGGGCCCCTTAAATTCCGGAGGATGCTCTGGGTACAGCAGATGTGCCCTAGCCCCCCAAGAGGTTCCTGTTGCCTCAAATCATCAACCTTGCTAACTGGCTAGGAAAGCACCCTCCCTTCACCTAAAACTACCCCACCCTCCAAGGGAGAATTCCTTCATAAAGTTCAGCTGACAATCTCTCTCTCCCAGGTCAGATGACAAAGGCCTGTCCCTCTTTGGCATAGGCAGGGCTGTGAGATGGGAGGGTGGCAGGGCCACATGAGTATAAGACCCAAGATGGAGTACAGGGGTAGAATAAACTTGGGATGACAGGAGTCTAGAGTGTGTCCCCTAAAGGGCTCCTACAAGGTTGTCCAACTTCCAACTTCCTTGACTACTCCTTTCAGCCCCAAACCTAACACCAAAAAAATAATAATATTATTATTTATTTAGCATGTAACAGGAGCTCAGAGAGAAAGGAGGTTTGGGGCGGAACAAATAAAGCTGCTCCTCCTCTTTTGTTTTAAACTGTTAAGCACTCCTCACACAAGGCCTTACCAATAGGTATTAAACAGGTACAGTGCGTTAGGATATAAGAACTGAATGCCAGAAAAAATAGGTGCCCTGCTCTATGAGAACTGGCAACACAGCCCTCCTGTGCCTATAACCGCATTTCACCTGGATAGGAAGCTGGGAGAGGGCTGATTTTTGCTCGACCTGACAGCAGCCCCCTGCCACAGCTCCCGCCCCCACCAGTGAGAACGCTACCTTATCTGGAGCCCCAAGATCTGAGCAAAGAGCTGCTGCGACACCCCGTCCACACCAGCTGCTCCTATATTTAGTTACTGGTGTGGTCACCAGGGAACTTTAGAGCCTGGCGCCGCTCGGAAGGGCAACCCGAGCCTCCTGCACCACGTGTGCAAGCTCCCCCACCGCTGGCTCCAGCGGGCCTCCTGGACCACGCCAATGGGGGAGCCGATGCGGAGGGGAGAGCCGGCGGGCTGGATCGGACCCAAGCATCCTAGAAGGCCCACTCGAGGCCAGGACAGAGTTGACCCAGTTTTGCACCCAAGGGAAAGGAGCCCGCTGGGGCGTGAGCAGGCCCGGCTGGCGCCTTGTTTTTGAGCCACGGGGTTCGCAGGGTCCGCGCGTACTTCCTTCCCTATAGGCATCTAAGCATCCTCGGGCGGTGCCTCCCAGGGTCCCCGCGTCTGGCGAAGGGGGCCCGCCTCGCCCGTCTACCCCACCCCCCGGCGCCCGCAGCCAATGGCTCCTCGTGGCCGGCCCTCAGCTCTCCCGGCAGGCGGGGACTAGGGAGAATAAAGCCGGCAGAGGAAAAAACGTGGCGACCGCAGAGGGCTGGGGACTCCCGCGCCTCCCGGGGGCCCAGAGGCGCTCTCTGCGCTGCCCGTCTGCAGCTCCCAGAGCGGAAGCAAACCCCGAAGCTGTCACTTCAGGGACGAAGTACACGACAGCTTCTCCCAGCAGGGCCGCCTCCCGCGGGGAATGGAGGCCCGCCCGGGGCCGCTTCCCCGAGCTCCCCCTGCCCGGGCACCGCTGCGCCCTCTCTCCCGAGCCAGCCCCAGGCCAGCCGCAGCCTGCGATCCCGGGCCGGCGTGGCGCCGGGCCCCCGGCATTGCAGAAGCCGCGGCGGGCGCACCGCTGCTCTTTGCCTCGAGTGACCTGGGGGAGGGGAGGGGACGCTGCAGAAACGGGGACACTTCTCTCCCTCTCTCCCCCAGCCCCTCCAGAGCTTAGCCTCAGACTACGTTTACTGCGCGGGGCACGAAGCGTGGGGCCCGGGTCCGGGCCGCTGTCTGCTCC